AGGTGTGGTGCAGCCTATACTATATTAGTGCAGGTGTGGTGCAGCATATACTGTATTCCTGCAGGTGTGGTGCAGTATATTATATTCCTGCAGGTGTGGTGCAGCATATACTGTATTCCTGCAGGTGTGGTGCAGTATATACTGTATTCCTGCAGGTGTGGTTCAGCCTATGCTATATTAGTGCAGGTGTGATGCAGCCTATACTAGATTTCTGCAGGTGTGGTGCAGCCTATACAATATTTCTGCAGGTTTTGATACAGAGTTTATATGTTTACTTGGTTGACTGGCATTAAAGAAGTTCAAAGACAATAAAATAATTGAACCAACAACAGTTCACTGATTGGTATGCAGAGAAGGTGTCAACAAGCTTGACAAGAGTGGGTGGAACTTTTGACTCAAGCAGTGATAACTCTCCGGATGCCCATTGTGTAATTCCTATTCTTGAACTGACATTGTTATACACTTGTTACAACTGCTGCTCAATAAACCAGGTTTGTGTTGATATTGAAGTTGGTATCTCCGCTATCCAAAGTGTGCAGTGAGTCTTATTGTTGGATAGTCATTTGGAGACATAAATGTGAAGTTAATTAATGCCAGTAAAGACCGCTCACGTTTTTCGCATTTTATTCACGCTCGCGTTAACATGGTTAATTTCAAGATTTACAGTACTATATTCCTGCACATGTTGATGCATTATATAGTTCATGCAGGTGTGATGCATCATATTCCATTTTCCTGCAGGTGTGATGCATCATATTTCATTTTCCTGCAGGTGTTGATGCGTCATATTCCATTTTCTTGCAGGTGTTGATGCATCATATTTCATTTTCCTGCAGGTGTTGATGCGTCATATTCCATTTTCTTGCAGGTGTTGATGCATCATATTCCATTTTCCTGCAGGTGTTGATGCAGCATATTCCATTTTCCTGCAGGTGTTGATGCGTCCTATTCCATTTTCTTGCAGGTGTACAATGAACAGATCCAAGACTTGCTGCTGCCACGGGGGAGTCTGCCAATCAGAGAGGACCCAAACACTGGTGTTATTGTGCCAGGACTCTCGCTGCACAAGGTACATATAAATCCCAGATGTGACAGTTTGCTACTGATGTGGCACTTGTGTGACAGTTTGCTGCTGATGTGACACACGTGTGAGAATTTCTGCTGATGTGACACATGTGTGAGAGTTGCTGCTGATGTGACACACGTGTGAGAGTTGCTGCTGATGTGATACTTGTGTGAGTTGTTGCTGATGTGATACTTGTGAGAGTTGCTGGTGATGTGACACACATGTGTGAGAGTTGCTGCTTATGTGACACACGTGTGAGAGTTGCTGCTGATGTGACACACATGTGTGGGAGTTGCTGCTGTTGTGACACGTGTGAGAGTTGCTGGTGATGTGACACATGTGTGAGAGTTGCTGGTGATGTGACACGTGTGTGAGTTGCTGGTGATGTGACACGGTGAGAGTTGCTGCTGATGTGACACACGTGTGAGAGTTGCTGCTGGTGTGACACACGTGTGAGAGTTGCTGCTGATGTGACCCATGTGTGAAAGTTGCTGGTGATGTGACACACGTGTGAGAGTTGCTGCTGATGTGACACACAGGTGAGAGTTGCTGCTGGTGTGACACACGTGTGAGAGTTACTGCTGATGTGACACATGTGTGAGAGTTGCTGCTGATGTGACACACGTGTGAGAGTTGCTGCTGTTCTGCTTGCAGCCGAAGAATGCAGAGGAGCTCCTGTACATGCTCCAGTTCGGCAACAAGAACAGATCCCAGCACCCGACTGATGCCAACGCTGAGTCGTCACGGTCTCACGCTGTCTTCCAGGTAACTGCACTTCACTATCTTTGGGCATACCACATTCACCCTTGGGAACTTGACAATGCATGTCTACATGTAAAATATACCACAAGAGAATACTGTCAATTAAACTTTCGGGATTTGTAAGTTAGCATGGGGTTCTTATGAAGATTACTTGCTGATAGGTAAAGGAGTTGTTCAGTGGACCCTTGCTAGAATGGGACGTTTAATAAGCGGAATATGGAAGGTGTGCTTGTCATGAAGAGACAGGGTGTCCTGGGCATGGTCCTTGAGAGAAGTGGCTGATAGTTCCCAGCCTTGGAAAACTTCTGCTGGGACATGAGGGCAGTCTCGTCTAGAGCATAGCTAGAGACAAAAGAGTGAGTCTTGGATGTCTCTCCATGGAGGGAAGAAGAAGACCAAGATGAAGATGCAAGAGCAGACATGGGTTAAAGGGGAAGTGTACACGCAAAAATCACTTTCTTTCTTTTTCTAAACAAAACGCAATTTTAGAATTAGTTAGTATCTGTGTTTGAAAATATACGCTCATTTTTTTTCACAGTGAAAGTAGGAAGCTCACAATAGTGTTAAAATGATATGTCGTTGTGAGGCCTTCGTTTTACGAGCGAAATAGGCCTGAGTTATCCCCCTTAGATTATGACGTAATTGGTGCCAATTCAACTGGGTCCCTGTCTATTCTCAACGCAAAAGATATCAAGGACCAGTTTGCGGTAAAACAACATGGTCTACGACACACTCCGGCGCAGTGGTGACTCAGCATAACACAATTCTGGCTGGCATCTGAGACGCTAGAATCACAAAACTGTACCTACACCACGTGAAGCGGCTCTAACAAAGCATGATGACGTCATAATGTTTATCAATTGGCACCAATGACGTCATATTGCAAGGGGCATAAGCCATGGTGTTTTTGTTATGGAAATAGAACACTTGGTAAATGTGAAAAATATCAATCGTTTTAATGCAAAAAATATGTTAATTAAATATGATGTTTTTATATTTTTGTCTATGACACTTCTATGTTAACACTTTTAATGTGGAAAAAGTACAAGAAAAATTGGTTCATTTCCGTGTGAACTTGCCCTTTAAGGGAGCACCTCTATAAAAGCCAACCATGGGATTTAGTCTGTCATACAGACCCTGAAACAAATATATCGAATAAAGCCCATGCAAGTGTATAATGTTTGGCAAGTCTAGATTACTGCAGTATCTGAAAATGAAGACTCTTTGGGCTCCTTTTTATTATATTATATAACTATAATTTTACAACTGTTTTTTCTGTGAAGTGTGTTCATTTCAGAGACTAGATGTTAGTCTATCTGGGATTCTGACGGGGATATTTCCTGTTATTTGTAGCCACCATCAAGTGCGATATATTAATAAACCAGCAAGAATGTGTAGTAAGACATGAAGTCACAAACCATTAGAATTATATAAATTGAAAATGAACAAGAAACAAGCAAAAGGATGCTGGTATATTGCTGGAGCATTTTATATTCACAACAAGCAGTAATGTGAAGATACACGACGTCATCACTTCCGTGGTCACTTGCATGGGCACTGTGAGATAGTATTATCCACACAACTAGTTGGAACATCTTCTTCAGCTGGACCTCACACAGCTTTGTCTTTCTGTCAAAAATTGCAGAAGATGCATTTAGGAGTATGTAGGATAAGTATAAAAGTGTAAAAATATATTTAGATTTTACTAGGTTTAACTTTTGCATTTTTTCCATTTGACATGTTTGAAAAACAACTCTCTATGTTAAATTTGTTTAATTTATTTTTTTCTAAATTTTCTTTGTGCAGGTATTTGTGCGACAGAAAGACCGCACCGCTAACATATCTGCTGAGGTGAAGGTGGCCAAGATGTGTTTAGTTGACCTGGCAGGGTCCGAAAGGGCCACAGTCACCAAGAACCGAGGGGCTAGATTCAGAGAGGGAGCCAACATCAACAGGTCTCTCCTGGCACTTGGCAATGTCATCAATGCTCTCGCGGAGAACAAGGTTAGCCCTAGATGTGGCATAAACTTCAACATTTTAGGATTGATTTTTTCACTGTCCATCTTAACCATGGTAATGTAAATCAATGTAAATGCTTCTGTGACAGTTTAATATCAATATTCATACATTTTTATCTGTACAGTATCAACATATATATCTTATTGATGCATTGATATTGCGATATACGATGACATCCTTGGGTAGTCAGTCCATTCACCGAATAGCAGGATTAAAGGAACTTTCACTTGCTGTGTGATGGACTGGCAGCTGAGTGTTAGTATCAGGTTTTTGTTTGTACCGGATTCGACCCGTGAAGATTCGGTGTAGAATAGGTCTTCAGCAATCCATGCTTGCCGTAAAAGGTGACTACGCTTGTCGTAAGAGACGACTAACGGGATCGGGTGGTCAGGCTCGTTGACTTGGTTGATGCATGTCATCGATCCCAATTGCGTGGATCGATGCTCATGATGCCAATCACTGGATTGTCTGGCCAAGACTCGATTATTTACAGATCGCCGTCATATAGCTGGCATATTGCTGAGTGCAGCGTTAAACAACAAACAAGCAAACAAAAGTACTGGATTCCTTCTCCTGAAATAGGTTATTTGTCATCATACTGGACCACATTCACAGATGCTCTCATCATCAACCACTGGTTTTCGTGCTTCAGCCTTGACTTGCATACCAACTCAGTTATGTCAGAAATTGAGTGTACCCACCTTTATGAGACAAGGGAGTAAAAGGTCCAGTTTCCACCATTGCCGAACTAGGCTGGAATTGAGGGTGTTGATTATAGCACCACCAGCTATGTCCCCTCCATGACTCTCCTATTGACCAGTCAGAGTCCTCCACTCGGGAAGATGAGTGTACAAGATTCACCAACTACTTTCAAGCGAGCCTGATTAACATGCTCATTTTCATGTTCAGAAAATATGAACCGGGTTCCTCCACTCATTCATTCTCTGTTACTGACAAATGAACCTCACTGTTTATAACTTATGTGTTTCAGAACAAGGGCCACATTCCGTACCGAGACAGCAAGTTGACCCGGCTCCTGAAGGACTCGCTGGGAGGCAACTGTCGAACTGTCATGATTGCCGCAGTCAGGTAGGGAGGACAGCCCCACTGTCTTACAGCAGTCAGGTAGGGAGCACATCCCTACCCACCCCACTGTCTTACAGCAGTCAGGTAGGGAGAACACCCCCACCCACCCCACTGTCTTACAGCAGTCAGGTAGAGGGAACACCCCCACCCACCCCACTGTCTTACAGCAGTCAGGTAGGGAGAACACCCCACCCACCCCACTGTCTTACAGCAGTCAGGTAGGGAGAACATCCCTACCCACCCCACTGTCTTACAGCAGTCAGGTAGGGAGAACACCCCCACCCACCCCACTGTCTTACAGCAGTCAGGTAGGGAGGACACCCCTACCCACCCCACTGTCTTACAGCAGTCAGGTAGGGAGAACACCCCACCCACCCCACTGTCTTACAGCAGTCAGGTAGGGAGAACACCCCCACCCACCCCACTGTCTTGCAGCAGTCAGGTAGAGGGAACACCCCCACCCACCCCACTGTCTTACAGCAGTCAGGTAGGGAGAACACCCCCACCCACCCCACTGTCTTACAGCAGTCAGGTAGGGAGAACACCTCAACCCACCCCACTGTCTTACAGCAGTCAGGTAGGGAGAACACCCCTACCCACCCCACTGTCTTACAGCAGTCAGGTAGGGAGAACACCCCCACCCACCCCACTGTCTTACAGCAGTCAGGTAGGGAGAACACCTCAACCCACCCCACTGTCTTACAGCAGTCAGGTAGGGAGAACACCCCTACCCACCCCACTGTCTTACAGCAGTCAGGTAGGGAGAACACCCCCACCCACCCCACTGTCTTACAGCAGTCAGGTAGGGAGAACACCCCCACTGTCTTACAGCAGTCAGGTAGGGAGAACACCCCCACCCACCCCACTGTCTTACAGCAGTCAGGTAGGGAGAACACCTCAACCCACCCCACTGTCTTACAGCAGTCAGGTAGGGAGAACACCCCTATCCACCCCACTGTCTTACAGCAGTCAGGTAGGGAGAACACCCCCACCCACCCCACTGTCTTACAGCAGTCAGGTAGGGAGAACACCTCAACCCACCCCACTGTCTTACAGCAGTCAGGTAGGGAGAACACCCCTACCCACCCCACTGTCTTACAGCAGTCAGGTAGGGAGAACACCCCCACCCACCCCACTGTCTTACAGCAGTCAGGTAGGGAGAACACCCCCACTGTCTTACAGCAGTCAGGTAGGGAGAACACCCCCACCCACCCCACTATCTTACAGCAGTCAGGTAGGGAGAACACCCCCACCCACCCCACTGTCTTACAGCAGTCAGGTAGGGAGAACACCCCTACCCACCCCACTGTCTTGCAGCAGTCAGGTAGGGAGAACACCCCCACCCACCCCACTGTCTTGCAGCAGTCAGGTAGGGAAAACACCCCACCCCACCCCACTGTCTTACAGCAGTCAGGTAGGGAGAACACCCCCACCCACCCCACTGTCTTTCAGCAGTCAGGTAGGGAGAACACCTCAACCCACCCCACTGTCTTACAGCAGTCAGGTAGGGAGAACACCCCTACCCACCCCACTGTCTTACAGCAGTCAGGTAGGGAGAACACCCCCACCCACCCCACTGTCTTACAGCAGTCAGGTAGGGAGAACACCCTACCCACCCCACTGTCTTACAGCAGTCAGGTAGGGAGGACACCCCCACCCACCCCACTGTCTTGCAGCAGTCAGGTAGGGAGAACACCCTACCCACCCCACTGTCTTGCAGCAGTCAGGTAGAGGGAACACCCCAACCCACCCCACTGTCTTGCAGCAGTCAGGTAGGGAGAACACCCTACCCACCCCACTGTCTTGCAGCAGTCAGGTAGGGAGAACACCCCTACCCACCCCACTGTCTTGCAGCAGTCAGGTAGGGAGAACACCCCACCCCACTGTCTTGCAGCAGTCAGGTAGGGAGAACACCCCTACCCACCCCACTGTCTTACAGCAGTCAGGTAGGGAGGACACCACCCCCACCCCACTGTCTTGCAGCAGTCAGGTAGGGAGAACACCCCTACCCACCCCACTGTCTTACAGCAGTCAGGTAGGGAGAACATCCCACCCCACCCCACTGTCTTGCAGCAGTCAGGTAGGGAGAACACCCCTACCCACCCCACTGTCTTACAGCAGTCAGGTAGGGAGAACATCCCACCCCACCCCACTGTCTTGCAGCAGTCAGGTAGGGAGAACACCCCTACCCACCCCACTGTCTTACAGCAGTCAGGTAGGGAGAACACCTCAACCCACCCCACTGTCTTACAGCAGTCAGGTAGGGAGAACAACCCTACCCACCCCACTGTCTTGCAGCAGTCAGGTAGGGAGAACACCCCACCCCACTGTCTTGCAGCAGTCAGGTAGGGAGAACACCCCTACCCACCCCACTGTCTTACAGCAGTCAGGTAGGGAGAACACCTCAACCCACCCCACTGTCTTACAGCAGTCAGGTAGGGAGAACAACCCTACCCACCCCACTGTCTTGCAGCAGTCAGGTAGGGAGAACACCCCTACCCACCCCACTGTCTTACAGCAGTCAGGTAGGGAGAACACCCCACCCCACTGTCTTGCAGCAGTCAGGTAGGGAGAACACCCCTACCCACCCCACTGTCTTGCAGCAGTCAGGTAGGGAGAACACCCCACCCCACTGTCTTACAGCAGTCAGGTAGGGAGAACATCCCACCCCACCCCACTGTCTTGCAGCAGTCAGGTAGGGAGAACACCCCACCCCACTGTCTTGCAGCAGTCAGGTAGGGAGAACACCCCTACCCACCCCACTGTCTTACAGCAGTCAGGTAGGGAGAACATCCCACCCCACCCCACTGTCTTGCAGCAGTCAGGTAGGGAGAACACCCCACCCCACTGTCTTGCAGCAGTCAGGTAGGGAGAACACCCCTACCCACCCCACTGTCTTACAGCAGTCAGGTAGGGAGGACACCACCCCCACCCCACTGTCTTGCAGCAGTCAGGTAGGGAGGACACCCCTACCCACCCCACTGTCTTACAGCAGTCAGGTAGGGAGAACATCCCACCCCACCCCACTGTCTTGCAGCAGTCAGGTAGGGAGAACACCCCTACCCACCCCACTGTCTTACAGCAGTCAGGTAGGGAGAACATCCCACCCCACCACACTGTCTTGCAGCAGTCAGGTAGGGAGAACACCCCTACCCACCCCACTGTCTTACAGCAGTCAGGTAGGGAGAACATCCCACCCCACCCCACTGTCTTGCAGCAGTCAGGTAGGGAGAACACCCCTACCCACCCCACTGTCTTACAGCAGTCAGGTAGGGAGGACACCCCAACCCACCCCACTGTCTTACAGCAGTCAGGTAGGGAGGACACCCCCACCCACCCCACTGTCTTGCAGCAGTCAGGTAGGGAGGACACCATCGTCCAACCCCAGTCAAAATATTAGTTATATACAAGTTACAGGAGTAATTGTATTGTTGCCAAATGAAAAGTTGTATCTGAATATGAGTATCAGGCAAGTGGCCTGAACGTGACAGAATCTAGTTGTTTTATTGACATCCTGTTTCTGTTGTCTTAGTCCTTCCAGCATGTCGTATGAAGACACCTACAACACCCTCAAGTATGCCGACAGGGCCAAGCACATCCGGGCCATGGTGAGTAGACCACAGGAACAACATACTTCCTGTAGATTTTCTTTAATTTGGGGAAATATAAATTGTTGTTGAAACATTGGGTCATCAAGTCCACCCATCCACCCACTCTCACTCACTAGATCACTTATATGTCTGTCTGTTTCCCAGCTGAAGAAGAACATCCTGAATGTGGACTTCCACGTGTCCCGGTACGGCCAGATTGTGGAGGACTTGCGGAAAGAGGTGAGATCAGCTAATACCTGCTTTCATTTAGAGTCGCCTCCCTTAGCTGTAACAGGATCCACTGATTATGGCCTGTCCCCATTGTGATCCTTGTTATGTCAGAACCACAACCATATTTCACCAAAGTGAACATCTATGACCTGACCTCCCAAATGAAAGTGTCCTGCAGTGATGTTGCTGATGTTGCACTGATGTGTTCATAGAAGCAGAGATTCATTGATTCAGCTTTATTGGATGTGCGCAAAAATTCTGTATCATACCTTTACATATGATTATATATATATATATATGAGACTGCTGTTGGAAGCGAAAGAATACATGCTGGTCAAGTAACAAAAATGGCGCTTTGCGAAAAGAACTGTCTCAATTGACGAGTTAAAGAGAAATTTACAGTTTATAACGAGACATTTCAAGAGAATAACAAATGACATGAAGCGATATTTACTCCATAAATGACCACCCGTCATTATTTTGCCTTGTCAATGTGACACTAACGTAAAAAAGTTGTCAACAGTTTGTAAACGGACCAGACTCTTACGGTAAAGGGGGACAATTTGAGGGGAGGTCACTCTATCATGACAATAGTTCTGTTAAAAGGGTTATGTTCACTGCAATGAACAACTTTCTCAACTTCAGAAAACTCACAATGAAGTATACAATAAATATAGAATACTAAACGAGCTCCCGTGTAATACCAATTTTATGAAACGAGTGAATAGTTCTGGTATCTGACGAGCAAATGCGAGTGAGATACCACAACTATTCACGAGTTTCATAAAATTGGTTTTACACGAGAGCGAGTTTAGTATTTTATTTATTACTTGTCATTTATAATGTTTTTATAATTATACTGTTGAGTGTAAATAGGCTGACACCTACACGATCCATGGCATAATCCAATTGAGTTTAACAGAATAATACTTCAAACACGTAAAAAGTTGAAACGTATGAATTTAATATCATACAATGGTCCACCTTTAGAATTCAGGCGTTCGTCCCACAAAATTATCGTAGTGCTAAGGCTGTCACAACTCACATAATTTAACTTCTAAGGGTAACGACTGTCGTTGCGCTAGAGTACGATCGTCTTGTGGAACGGGACCTTGCACCTCAAAGTTTACAATCATGTCACAATACCCGATGACGTAATTTGTTGAATTTTGTTGCAAGATCCATCGGCGAAACAATGCCATGTGACGTCACCCTAGCAACAAGGTTGCTGGGGTCATCGAGTGTGCATAAGCTCCTCCCAGTGATCTATCATCTCCACACACAATGCCGTTGAATAAGCCAAGGGATGTTGAGAGCTTTCAATATTTGTTCGTGAAACGTGTTCCGAGAATACATAAGCACGCGTTTTGGTATTACACAATGTTTAATAAAGCTGTATGTTTATTAAACGGGTCATCTCTTCACGGGCAAGTAATAAACATGTTTACTTTTACCCTGTGAGGCAGGTGTGGTGTGACACAGCACGTGTTATGGTTCTGGTTGTCCGATATAGCAAGTGTTATAGTTGTATAGTAATCATGTTATCTGTCTTCTACTCACAGATCGGAGAGTTGAAGTCACGACTTCAGCTGTATGATGAGGGGAAGATGGGGTCGTCACGGCGACAGTCAGCTGTCAATGAGGAGCAAAGGTGAACATTTAGTTGATGCCATGTTTATTTTTTCATTGGTAAAGTTTTTGTATTTGCAAATATCAACCACACAGAAATAACATATGACTCTCTTTATTCAACTTTGATTACCACACTGGCTATCAACAGTCATCCTAACAGATAGCATAGGATTCTAACAAGAGGTTTAAAGATGTAAAGTGGCAGCAATCAGTCACAGAAATTCCCTTTCCATACACAGCGGCAGTATCACCTACATTAAACATATCTTGCAAAATAAACAATTAATTAAGTAACCATTGAATTGTACCCTGTGGTTTTGTTACACACAGCTTACACCCAAGCTGGTGGTCTGTACAGCTGCTGGGTGTACAGCTGTTGGTCTGTACAGCTAGTGGTCTATACAACTGATGGTCTATACAGCTGATGGTCTATACAGCTGATGGTCTGTACAGTAGGCAGTCTGTACAGCTAGTGGTCTATACAACTGATGGTCTAAACAGCTGATGGTCTATACAGCTGATGGTCTGTACAATAGGCGGTCTGTACAGCTGATGGGTGTACAGCTAGTGGTCTATTTAACTGATGGTCTGTACAGCTGATGGTCTGTACAGCTGGTAGTCTGTAAGCTGGTGGTCTGTACAGCTGATTGTCTGTACAGCTGATGGTCTGTACAGCTGGTGGGTGTACAGGTGATGGTCACTTAGCTGATGGTCAGTACAGCTGGTGGTCTATACAACTGATAGTCTGTACAGCTGGTGGTCTATACAACTGATAGTCTGTACAGCTGGTGGTCAGTACAGCTGGTGGGTGTACAGATGGTGGTCTATACAACTGATGGTCAGTACAGCTGGTGGTCTATACAACTGATAGTCTGTACAGCTGGTGGTCTATACAACTGATAGTCTGTACAGCTGGTGGTCTATACAACTGATAGTCTGTACAGCTGGTGGTCTATACAACTGATACTGATAGTCTGTACAGCTGGTGGTCAGTACAGCTGGTGGGTGTACGGATGGTGGTCTATACAGCTGGTGGGTGTACGGATGGTGGTCTATACAACTGATGGTCAGTACAGCTGGTGGTCTGTACAGCTGATGAGTGTACAGCTGGTGGTCTGTACATCTGGTGGTCTGTACATCTGGTGGTCTACAGCTGGTGGTCTGTACAGCTGGTGGCTTTACAGCTGATGGTCTGTACAGCTGGTGGGTGTACAGCTGATGGATGTTCAGCTGATCTTTTCAGCTGGACAGTTAATGGTTTGCTTCATGGTCACCTTCACCTGTAAAGAGTACTCTGTGTTTCATTAAACAAGGGCCAATTGAAGAAATACTTTGCACATTTATCCCTGATAGAAAAATACACATTACTGTTTCAAAATATCCTGATAAATTCACTCATACGAAGGTTGTAGACCAAAGTGAACATAAAATATTTTTTGGAACTTACCTAAAGAGGTTCGTCTGTAGCATTGAGGACATTTAGTAAATTCTTTGTTGATGGTATAAATGAAGTACACTACCGACAGAGCTAGAATGTGTGAGATGTTGAGCAGTATCTTGTCCCTCACACAGACTGAGCGCGATCCTGGAGAACATCTTCGAGGCTCGTTTGGACGTGCGTCGAGAGCAGCTGCAGGTGGAGTGTGTGTATCGGGACCTGCTGTGGAAGATTGGCCGCAAACAGAGATGTCTTCATCGACTCCGTGTCATCTCGAGCGCTGCTCAGGGACAGGTGGGTGGTTGTACAATGACGGGATGTGGTTGTACAATGACTAGATGTGGTTGTACAATGACTGGATGTGGTTGTACAATGACTGGATGTGGTTGTACAATGACTGGATGTGGTTGTACTATGAATGGATGTGGTTGTACAATGACTAGATGTGGTTGTACAATGACTGGATGTGGTTGTACAATGACTGGATGTGGTTGTACAATGATGGGATGTGGTTGTACAATGACTAGATGTGGTTGTACAATGACTGGATGTGGTTGTACAATGACTGGATGTGGTTGTACAATGACTGGATGTGGTTGTACAATGACTGGATGTGGTTGTACTATGAATGGATGTGGTTGTACTATGAATGGATGTGGTTGTACAATGACTAGATGTGGTTGTACAATGACTGGATGTGGTCGTACTATGACTGGATGTGGTTGTACAATGACTGGATGTGGTTGTACTATAACTGGATGTGGTTGTACAATGACTGGATGTGGTTGTACAATGACTGGATGTGGTTGTACAATGACTGGATGTGGTTGTACAATGACTGGATGTGGTTGTACAATGACTGGATGTGGTTGTACAATGACTGGATGTGGTTGTACAATGACTGGATGTGGTTGTACAATGACTGGATGTGGTTGTACAATGACTTGATGTGGTTGTACAATGACTGTATGTGGTTGTACAATGACGGGATGTGGTTGTACAATGACTGGATGTGGTTGTACAATGACTGTATGTGGTTGTACAATGACTGGATGTGGTCGTACAATGACTGGATATGGTTGTACAATGACTGTATGTGGTTGTACAATGACGGGATGTGGTTGTACAATGACGGGATGTGGTTGTACAATGACGGGATGTGGTTGTACAATGACGGGATGTGGTTGTACAATGACTGGATGTGGTTGTACTATGACTGGATGTGGTTGTACAATGACTGGATGTGGTTGTACAATGACTGGATGTGGTTGTACAATGACTGGATGTGGTTGTACAATGACTGTATGTGGTTGTACAATGACTGTATGTGGTTGTACAATGACTGTATGTGGTTGTACAATGACTGGATGTGGTTGTACAATGACTGTATGTGGTTGTACAATGACTGGATGTGGTTGTACTATAACTGGATGTGGTTGTACAATGACTGGATGTGGTTGTACTATGACTGGATGTGGTTGTCACTAGGTACAAAGATGCCTACAGTAGACTTTATTAACCTCCATGTCAGAATGATGAGATCTGATTGCTTCACATGACCTTGACACTATACTGTGTATCCTGCCTTGGAGGGAAATACATTTCTCAGAGGGTTCATAAATCCTTTATACCTGCGACGAGCAAGTGAGGCTGCACATGGATTTCTGAGAGGGAGAATAAATCCCTTACACCCCGCTTGCACCAAGAAGCTGCACGCTATTTCTGAGTAAATGAAAGTCATGTGACAGAGCACAAGTTAACCTCAGCTCAATCAAACAGCTGTTTTCTATCAATTTTGAAATTTGTTTTAATTAGTTTACATAGTCATATCACAACATGTCGCTAAGATAAATTTGTTGCAGCACATTAAAGATGGGCCCATGGGACGCATGAAGAAACCCATGTACCTCTTGTGATCCTACCACAACTAATAATGTATGCTTGTCATAAGGATTGACTGAAAATACTAGTGTGGTCTGTTTCGGTCACTTGATTGATAGCACGTCATTGTGCCTGATGGTAGTGATTCTGGTGACCACGTTAAACAACATTCAATCACTCACTCAGTCACTTCACTCAGGTGGCACGCAACATGTCTTAAAGTGCCTGCTGTAGAAGCTTGGCTATACACCTGAAGGTGTTGCTGATGGTCAGACGTACACCTGAAGGTGTTGCCGATGGTCAGATGTACACCTGAAGGTGTTGCCGATGGTCAAATGTACACCTGAAAGTGTTGCCAATGGTCAGATGTACACCTGAAGGTGTTGCCGATGGTCAGATGTACACCTGAAGGTGTTGCCGATGGTCAGATGTACACCTGAAGGTGTTGCCGATGCTCAGATGTACACCTGACATGTGTATCTGATGGTTGTAGACCGCCTCCCGTGGTCTAGTGGTAGAGCGTCCGCCCGGAGAGTGGAAGGTCCGGGGTTCGATCCCCGGCCGCGTCATACCAAAAGACGTTAAAAGATGGTACTTGTTGTTACCCTGTCTGGCGCTCGACATTAAGGGGCTAAAACAAGGACTGGTTGGCTCGAAGTCAGTATACTGTGTCTGAGTGGGGTATTCATGTTAAACTGCGGCATGGTATCTCAGTGAGCTAGCACTATTAATCGGCATCAGTACGGACTAGTACAAGCAGCCACACAAACACACACACGTACATGCACGTCACTATATAAGTGCAATAATCTTGGACGCGACGTTAAACCCCATTTCACCTCACCTCTGATGGTTGTAGGTGTGTGAGCGAGAGGAGCGCAGCCTCAAGTCCCTCCAGGGCAAGATGGAGGGTTGCTGCTTGTATGTACACCTGACATGTGTATCTGATGGTTGTAGGTGTGTGAGCGTGTGGAGCGCAGCCTCAAGTCCCTCCAGGGCAAGATGGAGGGTTGCTGCTTGTATGTACACCTGACATGTGTGTCTGATTGTTGTAGGTGTGTGAGCGAGTGGAGCGCAGCCTCAAGTCCCTCCAGGGCAAGATGGAGGCAGTGACCAGGAAGCGAGATGCAGCTGAAGTGAAGCTGGCCGCCAACCAGGACTGGCTGAACCGGGTCCACTCCGAGTTGTGCCTGGCAGGAGGAGACAACGCGGTGCCAGAGGTAAGTTCCCATGCTGCACCCTCATCTACCTGCCCTCCGTCCTGACCATCACTGTAGAGTGTAGGTTCCCATGCTGCACCCTCATCTACCTGCCCTCCGTCCTGACCATCACTGTAGACTGTAGGTTCCCATGCTGCACCCTCATCTACCTGCCCTCCGTCCTGACAATCACTGTAGACTGTAGGTTCCCATGCTGCACCCTCATTTACCTGCCCTCCGTCCTGAGCATCACTGTAGACTGTAGGTTCCCATGCTGCACCCTCATCTACCTGCCCTCCGTCCTGACCATCACTGTAGACTGTAGGTTCCCATGCTGCACCCTCATCTACCTGCCCTCCGTCCTGACAATCACTGTAGACTGTAGGTTCCCATGCTGCACCCTCATTTACCTGCCCTCCGTCCTGACCATCACTGTAGACTGTAAGTTCCCTTGCTGCACCCTCATCTACCTGCCCTCCGTCCTGACCATCACTGTAGAGTGTAGGTTCCCATGCTGCACCCTCATCTACCTGCCCTCCGTCCTGACCATCACTGTAGACTGTAAGTTCCCATGCTGCACCCTCATCTACCTGCCCTCCGTCCTGACCATCACTGTAGACTGTAGGTTCCCATGCTGCACCCTCATCTACCTGCCCTCCGTCCTGACCATCACTGTAGAGTGTAGGTTCCCATGCTGCACCCTCATCTACCTGCCCTCCGTCCTGACCATCACTGTAGACTGTAGGTTCCCATGCTGCACCCTCATCTACCTGCCCTCCGTCCTGACCATCACTGTAGACTGTAGGTTCCCATGCTGCACCCTCATCTACCTGCCCTCCGTCCTGACCATCACTGTAGACTGTAGGTTCCATGCTGCACCCTCATCTACCTGCCCTCCGTCCTGACCATCACTGTAGACTGTAGGTTCCCATGCTGCCACCCTCATTTACCTGCCCTCCGTCCTGACCATCACTGTAGACTGTAAGTTCCCATGCTGCACCCTCATCTACCTGCCCTCCGTCCTGACCATCACTGTAGAGTGTAGGTTCCCATGCTGCACCCTCATCTACCTGCCCTCCGTCCTGACCATCACTGTAGACTGTAGGTTCCCATGCTGCACCCTCATCTACCTGCCCTCCGTCCTGACCATCACTGTAGACTGTAGGTTCCATGCTGCACCCTCATCTACCTGCCCTCCGTCCTGACCATCACTGTAGACTGTAGGTTCCCATGCTGCACCCTCATCTACCTGCCCTCCGTCCTGACCATCACTGTAGACTGTAGGTTCCCATGCTGCACCCTCATCTACCTGCCCTCCGTCCTGACCATCACTGTAGAGCTGTAGGTTCCCATGCTGCACCCTCATCTACCTGCCCTCCGTCCTGACCATCACTGTAGAGCTGTAGGTTCCCATGCTGCACCCTCATTCTACCTGCCCTC